CTCCTGCTGTCCTTCCAGACCCTGCCTGAAGCTTGGTCCCAGGGTCAATGTCACATTGTCACGGTTTCAATGATAGCAGCACCTCATTCCCAAGATTTGATTTTTGTTTCATTAGTCAGGACTGAGTAACAAACCACTGAAAGTGCAGTGGCTTGCGATGCTATCAATTTGTTAATTTCTTCACTTCCGGGGTCCCTGGATCTGTGGGTGCTCAGTTTTTGCTTAGCGTGTTGCTTTCAGTTTGCATTTGGATGATCCTATGTGTTCAGGCACTCTTGTTAGCAGTTTCTCATCAAGGATGATATCCTAGGCTGCTTCGTTTTCCTTTTTTGGTAAGATGTATTTATTTTATTTGAAAGGCAGAGTTACAAAGAGAAGGATTGAGAGAGAGAGGGAGATCCTTCATCTGCTGGCTAACTCCAAACAGTTGTGATGGACCGAGCTCAGCAGATCCGAGGCCAGGAGCCAGGAGTCTTCGCCAGGTCTCCCACACAGGTGCAGGGTCCCAAGGCTTTGGTTCATCCTCTGCTGCTTTCCCAGGCCACAAGCAGGGAGCTGGATGGGAAGTGGAGCAGCTGGAACTTGAACTGGATGCCAGTGTCTCAGGTGAAGGATCAGTCAGCCATGCTAACATGCTGAGGCCTGTTTCAGGCTTCTTACATGGAACTGAATTTTGAAAGGGCCAAAGAGCCCCATAGGGCACGATCCCTGGAACTCACTCAGTGGTGCAGCGTTGGTCAAAGCAGGCTCCCCTGGTGAGCTGACATTTGGGTAGCAGCTGCAGCCATGCAGGGCCCACTGCAACACGAAGAACCATGCATTCATCCTGCAAAGGCTGGTCCACTGAGGATCACTGTTTAATGACCACCCGCCTAGACCAAACACGACTGTTTGATGCTCAGGTAGTGATGCCAAATGGGCACTTGGCTGGCAGCATCTTGATCACAGAAGGAGAGGGGTGCAGGCTGCAGAAATGGACTGGGGTTTCATCTGCATGCGTTGTGGCACCCTGGTGAATTACCCCAGCCTTTGGGGTTCCAGAGCTATGGGAAGCTGGGGAGAGGAATCCTTGGCCTGGGGGGGGCGGCTTCTACTCCCCTTCCCCGCTGGCCTGTGATGCATGCCGCTCCCTGCCACTCCCCAGCCATCTCAGCGGAGCCACAGACATGGGGGTGGAGGTTAGGATGCCACTTGCCCAGGATGAAGGACAGGAAACTTTTCCACTTCCTGTTTGCCACCTATAGGAAGGAATGCTGAGAGGGAAGGCCCACGCTGGCATGGCCTCACTGCCTGAAGGAAGGACACCAAAAGCAAGGCTAAGCTTAGTATTTCTGCAAGCAAGGAGTGATTTCTGGCCTGCCTCAGAGCAGCAGGGAAGACCAGGCAGAAGGCCCCGACTCTGTCTAGGCAGGAAGCCAAGAAGGGGAAGGGCTGAGGGTCTACACCACCGAGTGTACAAGCACTGCCTGCTGCGCTGAGCGTCTCTCCCTCCTCCCCCGCCAGAAGCTTTATGGAGACATCGCTTCGCTAGCTAGCTCTCGTTGTTTGCTTAGTTGCACCAGCCTCCGAGGTTCTGATTTTAGGAGGAGTTGTGAATCTGCATTCTTCAATTTTTCCCAACCCGGAGGCAGTTCTCCCCACTCCTGCTACCCCTCCCACATCCTATTTTTAAACAGGTCCTGCTGATTTTCCCACTCTCCCATCCCCACTTCCCACCCCAGGGTTGTGATGGGCTGGGGGTTAGGCACATCCAAGACTTTTCGGCTCCATCGCTCATTTCCCGAGTGGAGCTGGGCTACACTAATTGACCTCGAGGGTCGCAGCTGTGCTAAGTTGGGTGTTTGTTAGATCTCGTTAGGCTTGTAATTAGTGCAGGGAAATCTAGGTCGGAGGCAATGGCTTGAAGGGATGGTCTCCAGGGGCTGCAGTGAAGGTGGGGAACAGCAAACAGGTTCCTCCTTCAGTGGGGTGAGCCAAGGACAGACAGCGGTGGGACGAGCGGTTCCTACAGAGGAATAAGCACAGGGTCACGTGCAGAAAAGGCGCTCAAACTCAGCTCTCTGTGTGTGGATGTGTGTGAGTGTGTGTGTTTGCGTTTACTCGGGTTTCCTTCCAACATCTCCATATATGGTGTGGCTCTAGAGCAGGCCGCGGATTGGCTGCTGTTGTTGGGAGACGGGGAGGTAAAAAAGGAGGCAGAAAAAGAAATGGACCAAGCTTAGGGAAAGGAGGGAGGAGGAGGAGGGGCAGTGAGCGAGCTCTGAGGCTGAGAGAGGGGTGGAGGGTCTTTGGGACTGATCTCTGGGGAGAGCTAGAGAGCAGTTAGCAGAGTGCTGGGAGAGTGGGTGGGGGAAGGAGGTGACAGCTTTTCCCTTAGGGTCAACGCTCGGGGCATAGCATGTGTGTGGTTTGTGAGGGTTGAAGCAGCAGTTAGACAAACTTGGGTTTTTAATTTTTTTTTTTTCCCTCTCCCCGGTCCTTTTCATCTCAGACAACCTAAAGCTATGCTGTGGAACTAGCATGCAAATGAACTCATCAGCTTTCCAGGCCAATTCCTCAGCATTTCTCATTCAGGAAGCCCAGGGCTGCACCTCGTACAGCTCCTGTAAGCCCACCCGACCACCTGGAGGAGGGAAATGTCCCATGCCCTAGCTCTGCATCCGGCATCTCCCCTTCTCATTCTGAGCCTCCCCAAAGTGTCCCTTCTCCACATTGTGTAAGAAGGCAGTTTAGCCAAGTTGGGGGGAAGGGAGGAAGCATCCTGAAAGGTGACCACGAGCAGCTGCACGGTGACAAAGTGGAGTGGTTCCAGAGTCATAGAGCTCTTTTCCCTGCTACTCTATCCACCCATTTCCCACAAAACAGTGATTGGGAGGAAGGGAGGGGAACCAGCCTGGCGTCCCCTTCCTCCCGACACAGCCCTGGGCTTGTCGCACGCACTCACAGAGGCCATGCCAGTGTGCACCACATGGGTTGTTTTCTTCCCCCCGGGCGGGGGAAGCGCATCTTTGTGTGATGCTTTGATATTCGTAAGGACCAAGGATCATGCTTTGCCACCGCCCTCATTGTATCTCTTGCCTTTATGGGGGCACCTGGCACTTTGTCCTTTACAGGGAGGTCAGGGGCCAGCCTGTGGCCTGGATTAGGTGTATGGACCGAAGAGCTGGTCATCTGCCCAGGGCCCTCACCATCAGTGTGTGCTCTCCAGTTGGGCTTCACTGCTCACCCACACAGCTGCTGCCAGTGCCATCTGTTGACCTACAGGCATTTCCGATTCAATGCTGCAGTCTGTACAGGAGAAAAATGGGCACTCAGAAAGCTGTGTTTCATGTTGAGCCTCATAACTAGTAAGTGGCAGAGTCAGAATTTGAATCCAGATCTGTCTGGTCTCTATATAGGTTAATTTCCCTGGCTGGTGGCCTGGACGCCCCAGTGGTTGCCACAGCACTGGAAGCTGGTATGACGGCCTGAAGACCTCCGGGATGGGCTCCAGCCCTTTGCCAGGTCCCTCAGCTTTCTTGTGTGCTTCCTCTGGCCTGCTATCCGCCTCTCCTGTGGACTCCTTTTCTGGGAGCCACAGATGACTGACATGTTGGAATAATGTTATTCTTGCTTTTGTCTTTTTTACTCATTATGTGGGAGCAATAAAGAAGAAAGGGAAAATGCTGGTAAAGCCAAATTAATACATAGCTGGAAATTTATAAAAGGAAAGTATAATTTTAACTCAGACTTTCAACAGTTGCCACAATGGGCTCTGTTTGCTGTGCTGTGTTGTCTGAGAGAGCCTGGATCTCCTCCCCCATGCCCCAGGAGGACACTAAGGTGTTGCTTCTGTACTTTCCATCATCCAAGCTGTATCCTTGCTCCTTGCCAGGAACCACAGGCTGAGCCTAGGGAAAAATCCCAATGGGAAGCGACTCTCCGTTCCCTCGAGACTGTTCAGCGTGGATTTATCCATCCTGTTTCTGTGAGTTGTAGCAGTAGTATCAGCGCAGAAAAAGAGGTGATGCCTGGTGTCCCCCAACCTCCAAGGGCCTTCCCCTCCCCTTCGCACCTGGCTTCCCAACATCAGTGCAGCCTCGCTGTTGGGCAGTACCTAAAACTGGGCTGCCCCAGGTGAAGCTCTGGATTTTGGCTTTGGCAAATGAGACCCACAAAACCAGACAGGGTACACTTCAGAGCTTTAAAAGCTCATTTGTGTGACTCCCCAGCCTCTGATCCCCCTTTTTGAACCTTACAATCTTAGTAACCTTGGAAGCAGTAAACACAACGCCTTGGATGGGACCTGCCAGGACCAAGAGGGCAAGGTGGGCTGGCAGTGTCCAGGGCTACCAGGAAGGGTGGTGGTGCAGGCACATGTTTTTCTGAAGCTGGGGCTGGACTGATGTGGGAAGAGGTTTGAGGAAGGAGAGGGAGAGGCAACAGGAAGCCCTCACTTGGCCAAAAGAGGAACCCAGACATGTTTGGTTTCTCCTCCATCCTACCCTCACGGCAGCAGTTTCATTCTTAGCTCAGAGCCTGCATGGGGCGAGCTGTCCCTAGTTCCTCTGAGTAGGCTCCATCCTCACAATGACCACACTGGTCTGTGAATCAGTGGTGGGGAGGGGAAGGGGCAAGAAACATCGCCAAGCAAGAAAGCTCAATTCCAACCAGAAGCTATGAGCAGCCCGTATCTGGGTACTGGGACTTTTCATTCACATGTCTTCCTAAGAACAGGGATATGACTTTTGTGTACCATGGACAACTGGCACTAGCCTCTGTGCCCCTAGACCTGGAGATGGGCAGCTCAAATTTCACCCTCAGATTGAAATCCTCCACTGGGACATAGAGGACTTCTGTGCACATGCAAGCCTGCTGTGGAACGGAGCAGACCGTTATCTCCGTGACCCCTTCTCGCCGCTGTGCAGGTAACACAGCTATAGGGGTCACGGCCTCCTCCCATCTCAGAGGGCAGCAAGGAGGACAGCGTGGGCAAGGGGCCTAAGGGTGTATGTCAGGCATCAGCAAGAGAGCAATGATTTGATTGTGTGGTTTTTTTTTTTTTTTTTGATTGAGGTAAATAAAAAAAGCTTTGTCCTGAAACACTTGGAAATAAGTTTGTCCATCTCCATAGAGTTCTAGATTCTTCACATGAGGCTCTTTCGGTACTGGCTGTGCGGGGCAGTCTGTCTGGGCTGGGACTCAGAGGGCTGCAGATCCATCTGTCTGTACAGGTCCCTTAGCTCGCGGACTTCCTGCAGCACCCTCTTGGCCTGGCTCCAGTTCGAGGACGCCTCTCCCAGCAGCCGTTCCGTCTCCTGCAGCAGCTGCTCCGACTCCGAGTCGGGTGGAGACCGAGGGGGATCCTTGGCCTTTCGCTTCCCGTCTCCCAGTCCCTGGACCTCTGCCAGTAGCTCCTGAGTCTTCTCCAGTTTCCTTGCTACCAAGTCCTGAATCCGAGACAGCTGCCCTGGGAGGGGCGGGACGGATGAGGCGGAGGGCTGATCTGCTCGCAGCTGGAGGGTGCGGGCTGGGGCAGCGTCCCGCTGGGACAGGATCTCCTCTAGGGAGGCGCAGCGGCTTTTCTCGGTGGGAGTCAACTTCTTGGGCGCCTGTGGGGTGTAGGTGGCCCCCCTGTCTGGCTTCTCCCAAGGTTGGGGAAGCCTGCCAGCCCGGTCCGAGTCAGCTCTCCTCCTACTGCCGGCCAGCTGAGCCACGGACTTGTCCAGGTCCACCCGAAAGTTCTCAGCACAGGAGGTTGTGTCCTCAGGGGAAGGGTCTTCCTCTTGGATCAGGTCCAAGGTCAGCATGCCATCTGAGGTAGAGGTTGAAGCCTGGGGTGTGGGGGGGAGGGAAGGGAATGGGAGTGAAGGGGCTAGACTGGAAGCAGCTGGGAATTCAGGAACCACTGCCTCAAAGGCCACTCCCCTCCTCAACCTGAGAAGCAGGCCCCTTACCAGAGCCCATCTACTTTGTTCTATTGCTCTTAATGTCTTCCACCCTACCACACCCTTTCTAAGGGACCTCCCACGCAGGATGCCCACCCGCTCACTGTCCCCTTCTATCAGGGTTCTCCTGGCCGGGACCTCAGCCTCCTTTGCTATTTGGAACTTGGAACTGCTTGTCTTACCATGAAACTTGGACTCTGTTATCAGAACAGTCTAATTAAAGAAAGTAGTGAATGTATTTAGTTCTTCAAATGTAGTTACACGTGCAACTCTAACACCCTTGAAGCAAACCTTCAAGGGAGGCGTGACCCCTGCCCCATTTTGTTAGGAGACACGCAGCTTCAGGCAAGCAAACGGTGAACAGCTCCAACTCGGGTTCTGTCGCATTTTTTCCTGGTATGTCTCTGACTGCCTCTCTCAGGGGAGTGAACGCCATCACTAGGTTTGTGTGTCATGAGATTCCTTGAGGTCCTCCCTCCGAATGCCTGCGGTCACGTAACTGACCATCAGGACAGCTGGCCACCGGAGCGGAGCGGCCACCGTCTCGTGCAGCAGTGCACTCTTTCATCTGTTGCTTTTCTGGGGGTTTATCTCCCTCCCCCCACCCAAAGATGACAAAGGGGCTGAGAGCAGGTGCTGACCACAGTTCTGCCTAGGGGGATCGGGCGGGGGGGGACGGACACTGTGAGACCGGTGTCCATGCCATCTCTCGCACAAGCGCCTCTGGTGCTCATAGTTCTGTCTGAGATGGACTGATACAGAACCAGCCCTCTGAAAACGTTCACCTTCTTCATCATACGTACCACAGCCATTAGGTGCCCCCGTGTTGGGGGGCGGCGAGAGTGTTGGATTTTCGCCCTGTCTCGAGTTGGGTGGGCCAGATAGCTGTCCTCTTCAACGGTGACCTGGAGAGAGGCACTGTGAGGCCTGGTGCCTGTCCCCAGGCCCACCAGGCAAGCCCTGAAGCCTGGACATCCCTGGACTGAGAAACAAACCCACTCTATTAACAAATCCACTGGCAAAAGGATGTTACTGGACACAAAGGGGCTCCTTGAGCTGAGCCATGACCTCATGCCTCAGGAGGCAGGGAGCAAGGATCTGAAGGACTGAGAGGGAAGGTTGAGAGGGAACAGAGGCTTGGGAGGGAGAGCAGTGACTGGAGCTGGTGAGGAGCCAGCATGGGGGCCTGCACCCTGACCCTCTTCCCTGCTCCCCAGTCCCTCTCCCCACGGTGAGCCCCTGACCTCATCCAGGATCCGATTCTTGGCACGGGTGATGGCGGAGTTGAGGGCGTTGATCCACGATTCCTTCTCTTCTGGACTCACTGCCAGGAAGATCAGGTTGGGTGCCTGTGAGAACAAGATCTGTGTTGCAGCCAGGGTTTCAGAGTCAGTGTCTCAGGCTGACGGTGAGGAAGTAAGAAATGGTGTGTCATTCTTACAAGTCCAGCTCTGGGAAGACTGGTCATCTATATTCAAGCAAGGCCTGCCTTTGTTCCTGTGAACTGCTGCAGCTTGGCAGCTGTTTTAAAAATGACCAAGGAAAAGTCAGGGCCTGGCGTGATGGCTCAGTGGCTAAATCCTCGCCTTGCACACACCGAGATCCCATATGGCCGCTGGTTCATGTCCTGGCTGTCTGTCTTGTGCAGCGAACATCCAGCCCTCTGCTTGTAACCCGGCAAAGCAGCAGAGTACGACCCGAAGCCTTGGGACCCTGCACCTGTGTGGGAGACCCGAGGAAGCTCCTGGCTTCGGATCAACTCAGGCTCCGGCTGTTGCGGCCACTTTGGGAGTGAACCAGCAGTTGGAAGATCTTTCTATCTCTCCTCTGTGTAAATCTGACTTTCCAATAAAGATAAATTTTAAACAAATAAACGAACAAACAAACATGATCAAGGAAGAGCCGAGAAGCAAGGGTACTGGACATTAACACAGCTCTGGAGAGCATTCCAGGAGGCTCAGTGAAGAATGGCAAATCTTTAAATACAGCAGGCACGGCTTCGCTGGGTGCTTTGACGCAGAGAGAATCACACTGAGAAACAACGGAGGGATCGGTGAGTTTCTCCCTGGAGACACAGAAGTAGACACAGAGACAGGGACAGACACAGGAGAAAGAAGGAGAGAAAACATCTCTTGTGACGGAAGAGGCTGGCCTGCCTGGAGGGAAGGAAGTGGCCACGGTATTCTCAGGTTAAATGGTAAGGAGAGCAGCTGAGAGCTTCTGAGGCAAGACGGCGAGGGAGAGCAGCTGCAGGAGGAAGCTCTCTCCTCCCCTCCCTGGCCCCGCAGCCGAGGCGGCAGGACAGACTCACCGTGTTCCCCGGCTGCTTGGAGTGGGCAAGAGTAAACTTGCTATGATTTTTCTTGCTCCTGCTCTTGGATTTCCGAAGCTCTTCACACTTCTCATAGTCACTCAGGTCAAACACCTCTTGAATGTTTTTCTCATCTTTTACCTAGGGGAGGGTTGGGGGTGAGAGGCCGAGGACCAAGTTAGTCAGGCCGTCCAGCCCAGGGATAGTTGGGATCCACTCTTGGGGACGACAGAATCCTGAGGGCATGACAGCACTGCAAAGGGCCAGCCTACACAGGCCGGGAGACTGGCCTCCTCCAGCGGGCGGCAGGACTTGGGTGCCCCCATGTTCCGATTCCTCAGGCAGGTTTCCATCTAAGACTTCTTAGCTCTAGCCACCCCTTAGCCACTCTATTATACTGAAGCATCCCTATTCTGTTCCCAAACAACACAGTGCCCGTGTCCTTAAGGCTCATATCCTCAAAGGGACATGGAGAACAGGCTGACCTGATCCCCCTCAAGTGAGCCAGGCCGGAATGCACTTGATGATCCGGAAGATAAAGGCAGGGCTGGTGGCAGGAACCAGAAAGACCTCCCAGTCACATGTTTACACTGTATCTTTATTTTTACTTTTTTTTTTTTTTCTTCAGGGAGGGAGAGAGGATGAGAAAAGGAGAGATCTTCCATCTCTGGTTTACTCCCTAAATGGTTACAACAGTTAGTGCTGGGTCAAGATGGACTCACGAGCCCCTGGAACGCAAGCCAGGTCTCCCATGGAAGGTGGCAGGGACCCAGCCCTTGAGCAGCACCTGCTGCCACCTAGAAATGTACATTAATTAGTCAGAAGCTGGACTTTGGAAGCAGAGCCTAGGACTTGAACTTGGGCACTCTAGCATGGGATGTGGTGTCCCAGGCAGCTTCCTCAACCACTGAGCCAAATGCCCACTCCACAGCACAGCTTCCTTACTCTACCTCGCTCCACTGTGCCATCGCCATAAAGACAGCAACACCCTGTCTTCTGTGTGGGTTGACTGGGATAGGATACGAAATACAACTCTCCTCCCATCCCTCCTCACTCATTCCAAGGAATCATGACCGTCAGACCTAACCTGCCCAGCCATAAAATGTCATCTGATTCAACCACCTCTCTCTGGGGACAAATGTACCCAGGCCCTGCTTCCAAGATTGCATTGCGGGCTGGTATCTTTTTTCACTTTGAGTGACCAAGCCCCATTGTCCAGGAACCTTTTCTGAGTATCTAAACTCGGCCCTTCCTGCTGCACTCACGCCGCTCCGGCCGACAGTCGGATGTTAACACTTGTGGCCCATCTAATCAGAGTCCACACGTCTATCTGTATCCTCCAACCCCAATCAGTTTGTTCTGAGCATCACGGAACAAATTCCACTAACATTTCTTCAAAGGTCTATTTTAAGTCTCACAGAGTTTTCTTCTCCTTTCCCCTAAGAGGGTGCTCGCTGTAGTTCTGGTATTCCAAAGCTGTGGTTTGTGGGCTTGATCTGCTTGCAATCACTAGAAGTACCAGACAGGAGACTCAGTCACCAGTCCTGAGAGAGCAGCCTCTTCACTCTCTTGCTATCGAGCCTGGGGCTGAGAACGCCCCAGCCATGCGCTCGTCATGTTCTCCTGGGAGGAGATGGGGAACTCCAAGGACTTGTTAAAGTGGAGTCGACAGGTAAAAGCAGTCTCATGTCTAGCTGGGAAGACATCCACCCTCGCTGAATGGAATCATTTCATAAAATGGCCCCCACTTTCCAGCTCTGACGTAAGAATCTTGTGTACGGAGGTGACCTCACTCATCCTACTGGCTCTCTTTGAGGTAGAGAAGTATTTATTTCATCCAACAACCCAACGACAGTCTTGCATCTGCTCAGCGTTTTGAACTGCTAGTGGTTGGGGCTAGTGTAACGGCTCAACTGGCAAACCTTCCACCTGCAAGTGCTGGCTTATGTCCTGGCTGATCCACTTCCTATCCAGTTCCCTGCTTGTGGCCTGGGAAAGCAGTGGAGGATGGCCCAGGGCCTTGGGATCCTGCTCCTACATGGGGAGACCTGAAAGAGGCTCCTGGCTCCTGATCAGTTCAGCTCTGGCTGTTGCAATCATCTGGGGAGTGAACCAGCAGATGGAAGATCTTTCTTTCCTTCTCCCTGTAAATCTGTCTTTCCAGTAAAACAAATAAATCTCTTTAAAAAAATGAACTGCTGCTGGGCCTGTGCACTGTTGACATAAAAAGATGAATACTCATGTAATCTTGTTCAAGACAATGAGTGCCCATACATCTCTCTGCTTCAGCAAGGGTTGGCCATGCCCTTTCCTGCGGTCCCTAATTAGAGGCAGAGAGGAGACCAGGGTTCTTGGAGGATTATGGGTAAAAGAATAAGGTGCTGGCCACGGGCACCTAAGAACAATTCCCAGAAATGTGGGTGCAGGCCTCAGGGAGATGCCTCAGCCTTGTTCTCCACCTGCCTTCACAGGACTCAGTCTATCAGCACAGGCCAGAGCGCTTGGAGAGGAAGGTGCTGGGGGTGGGTAGGGCCAGGGTAACTCATTCTGTTTTCATAGGGAAAGGAAAGGGAAGGGAAGAGAAGGGAAAGGGAGTATTCTGGCTTGGACACAGGCTGATAAGAAGCTCTGGGGAGCATTGGCCACTGAGCCAGATCAGTGTTGGGGGTGGGGAGGTGGTAGGAGACGGAGGCAGGAGGTGGAACAAGTACGTTCCAGGACCCAGCCCGGGAGACGGACGACCTCAGCAGCCCTGTTCTCTACTGTGGCCCGTCCCCACCCCGCATTTAATTCCCCAAGACTCATTCACAATTACCCTTCTTCCACACTGGCCCTTCTGTTCCTGTGATTCTCTGACCTTGGCCCACAAAAAGGAATGCTCCTCACTCACCAGAAGGGTTCCCCTGAATCCCGTTTTCTCTGCTGTGAGGTCTCCCTGAGGCCCAGGCCTGCTCCCAAGGCATCCTTGACTCCTCTTTCACAAAGGTGCTGTTGCCCTGAGAATGGGTACACTGATTCATAACCCACAACAAGAAATTCTAAAGTGGAAACAGTTACGGGAGAGCCCACCTTTACCCAGCGGGAGTAACAAAAGGGACTGGTCAGATCTTTGGTGTGTTAGAGATTTTCTTGCATGAACACATACACCCCTAAACATTACATTACGCTTTGTCTTCTCTAAATCTTCAACCTGCTGGCTAGGGAGCTTTAGAAGGTGGGCAGAATACATCCCATAATGCTCGGTCATTTTTTCCCTTTGCCCAGACCACTGCTCCAGAGAAGGACTCACATACACACTGCTGTTCCCTCTTCTCCTAGACCCTTCCCGACAGAGGGTGACCGGTCCCGGGGGGCAGTCAGATGCTCCTGACTCACAGGACACCACCCACAGAGCGCTGAGCTCATTCCACCCTCTCCCCCCACCCCGTCTCTGCACCCCTTTTTCCACAAACAAGGACCAACCCTGCTTTTCTGCTCTCTGTGAAATACAAACAGGAAAGAAAAGGTCGTGGTGCTCCTATCCTTTCGTTGGTCTCATGTTTCCCTTTTGACGTGTAGGAAGTTCTCCCTCATTGCTCACCAGGGTTTCCTGCCATTATGAAGTTCGGGGAAGACAGGAGATAGACTGACCTCTGTGTGTGTGTGTGTGTGTGTGTGTTTAAACTGGAAAATTGTGGGGAAAACCTTGTATGGGAAGAAAACATAAAATCAATCTGACTGGGGCCAGTGCTGTGGCGCAGTGCACTAAACTTCTGCTTGTGGCACCAGCATTCCATATAGGCACTGGTTTGTATCCTGACTACTCCGTTTCTATCCAGCTCCCTGTCTGTGCCCTGGGAAAGCAGTGGAGGATGATCCAAGTCCTTGAGCTCCTGCACCTATATGGAAAAGTCAGAAGAGGCTCCTGGCCTCAGACCAGCTCAGCTCTGGCTGATACGGCCATTTGGGAAGTGAAACAGCAAATGAAGATCTCTCTGTTTCTCACTGTAACTCTGCCTTTCAAATAAAAATAAAATCAAACAAAACAAAACCACACGAAAACAAATGAACCAGCCTGCAAAGTGCTCCTGCACCCACCACTGCGTTGCTAGCTTAGTGCCAACAGCAGGGTCTGACCCCCTCGAGGGCCTGGTGGGTCGCGGTTCCCCCTGGGTTGCTTCAGTGCTGTTTTCAGATGAGCACTTTCTCTCGGACTGTGTGTGCGTCTGGTTTGATACCATAAAAGGCTTTATTTACCTAAATATAACCTACTGAATAAGAATGGCTACCACACAAAGCAGAAGAGGTTAGAGCTGAGGGAGGACTTCCCAGCTCCCTGGGTCAAGGGAACAGAGACTGGGGCAGACGCGGCCAGGCCAGCAGGACTAGAGGCCCCACTCCTAGCCTCTGCCCATGAGACCACAGGGTCAGGAAACCACTTCTACCCCATGGAGGACTACTGGCTCGGAACCGCCACAGGTTACCTATCCCAAGAGTTAGGTTGCACTTAGCAACCTGGGTTCTGGTTCCAACCCGGTGTGGTCTGTGGTCTATTCAGAGTTACATCAGGGCCTGGGGCTGCGGTAGGCAGGAAGGGGAAAGAACAGAAGCCCCTTACTACTTTGTTTCCTTTAAAGCAGCAGAGAACAAGTAACTATCTGCTACTCAGAAATATTCTCCTGAGGTCACAGGAAACCAGCCCTGGGCTGTCCAAAAGACTTTCAAAAACTGTGGAAAACATGAAATCCAAAGACATAACACTTCGAATTCTATGCGCCTCCCCCATCATCTGCACCTTTCACAAACTTCCGTAAAGCTACGGTTTCTGGGGTGCAGGGTGACTGGCGCGGTGCAGTGTGGCGTTCAGGGCTGCAAGGCCGGGAAGAACCGAGCGCTGAACCACGGAGAGAAATGCAAGCCCGGAGGTGGGCGGGAGGCCGCCAGGGCCGCTGAGAAACTCCTGGGACAGGGTGGCAGGGGTCAGCGCTGTCACCAGGAAGGGCTTAGTAAACAAGAGCCACGAAGAAGCAAACCTCAACTTGTAACTTGCACGCACTTCCACTCACTACAGACACCATGGGGTGGAGACCACTGAACTTGCTTGTTGGGGTGGGAGGCGTGGAGCCAAACATCACTGCAGGCAGGGGGTGAGGGAAGGGGGCAAAGATCAGCAAAGTGTGTGTGTGTGTGTGTGTAGGGGTGTCTGCGCGGCCAGGGCACCTACCTCCTTCTCGGAGATGTAGAGCTGGTCCCCTTTCAACACCACATAGCGGTTTTTCCAAATCTCCCTGAAAATCCCTTTCCCGCAGAATTTCCGGACCCAGCCGACCTTCTCCGGTGCTGCCGAGGGATGGTTTCCATCCTGCGGCCCCTGGCCCCGGGGGACAAGAGGAGAAACACAGGCTGGGGTGACTCCAGCCGTCGCCTCTTCTCCCTGCGCCAGCCCAGCCCGTCCCTCACGACCCACTGCTCCGCGCCCCCCGCCACAGGCAGGAGCTGGAGAGCAAGGTCGGCTCCCCACTCGGCGGTGCCCGGTGTCCCCCACCTCGCCAGCGCTCCATTCCTCCAGCAACACCCGAGTACGGCGCGGGGAAGGGGCTGCGCGGCCGCCGGGGGTGCGGGGAGAGGGGGCCCCAGCCCGCACCCCTCCCCCGCCGCGCCGGCACTAACGGCATCTCCTCGGTTTCGCTGTTATTTCTCATTGTCTCCTCACCAGCGTACAACGTCTGGCGAACCGGGCCAGCCGCCCGGGGCAGGCGAGGGTGCGGGTCGGCCGCAAACTAAGCCAAGTTGAAATCCGCCCCCCTCTCCCCTCTCCCGCAACGCGAGTAAACAAACAAAAGCTTTCCCTCTCCTCCTTCCCCCTATCCCCCTCGGTGCATGGTGGACAAGCCCGGCGCAGCCAGAGGCAAAAGCCGGCACTGGGGCGCGGCCGGGGGTTCGGGGGTCCCGCAGGCCGCCGCGACCACTCACAACCCCGACGGCGGGGCCGGGGTCGCGGGCGCACCAAGTGAGCGCGGAGGTCTGAGGGCCGGCGGCGGCGGCCGTGCACTCACCCTCTTGGCAGAATTGTTCTTCTTCATCATTCCAGGCAGGCGAGGGCGCGGGGCCGAGGGGCGGCCCGCGTCGGGGGGCCCAGGCCGCCTCGAGGGGCTCCTTCCCAACGGGCGGGTGTCGGAGATGCCCCGGCGTCGCCGCCGCCGCCGCTCCTCCTCCTCCCTGGCTCCCTCCCGCCCGCTCCCGGACTCTCCCCTTCTTTGTAGCTCCGGTTACACTAGAGGCCGGCCTCCCTCGCACTCGCACACACACGCACGCCCGCTCCCCGCCCCTCGGCGCCCTCCATCCCGGCGCCCACGCGGCCCGGGCCCCCGAGCGCGCCCCCGCCGCCCGCTCGCCCGGCCCGGCGCGCAGTGGGCGGCCCGGCCCGCGCCCCGCAGCTCCATCCGCGGGCCGCTGACGTTGCGAGTTCAGAATAAAGGGCGAATCGCGGAGCCGCAGCCAGTGCGCTCCCCCGCCCCCCGCCTTTGTTTCCGACTCGGCGAGGCTGAGGCGGACCCGAGCCCCGCCGGAGCACGGCTCCCGGAGCGCGCGGGGAGCGGCGAGCCGAGGGAGAGGGACCCGCACACGCGGGCCGGCGGGCAACGACGCGGGCTGAGGCGGGAACGCAGAAGCAGAGCGCTCTGACGCCCTCCCCAAAGGCGGCCGGCGGGCGCGAGCCCACAGGGCACCTCAGCCCCGGCTGGCGTCGGCATTTCGCGCTGATCGGCATTAGCCTGGGTGGTGGGGACCGTGGCTGCGCAGGTCAAATGTTGCGGGGGGCTCAGGGGCAAGTTTCGTGCTGCTGCGTGTCAGGGGTGGGGTGCGTGAGTTGGGAGCAGAGTTCACAGGCGTACGCGTTGGCTGCAGCTTTCAAAGCGTCCGAGGCCTTCTTTGAGCTCCCCGCGAGGAACCCGGGTGTTGGGCTTTCCACGGCACCGGGAGAGAGGGAGGCTGAGGGATCGGCAAGTGCAGGCTCAAGTGGAACTCTGTCGCCGAAGCCACGAGCCGTTACGTACACCCAGTGGCTTGCCACGTGAGCGCCAGGTGAGGGTTAACGTCCCACCACCTGCAGAGCTCTCCCTGCTGCAAGGGTCGCGTCAGAAGCTACGGCGTCCACAGCTCTGGGATCCGGAGGAGGAAGAGTTCACGCCCAGCGGGTGCCTGGATGGGGCGTGCTCAGCCGAGCTGTCCTCCTGCACCAGCGATGCCCGCAGGACACCTTCGCAGCTTGAGGCTTCCGACGACGGAGTTTGGAGGTGTCATCTGCCCTGTGGCCTTTGGTCAAGTCACAGTTTGTTTTCACGTGGCCATTCCTGCATATGTTACCTGGCGGGCGATGAGCTGCCCTTTCCACCAGCCAGGAAACTTAGGGGGGAATAGTGCGTGACCCGTGGAAAGTCGTCTGAAGAGAAAATTATTGTCCTCCAGTGCGAATTATGAAATAAGCAGATGAACACATTGCCTGGCATATGGTACGCACACAATAACTACAAAATGAATAAAAATTTCTGGTATAGAGGAGCAGGCCAAAGGGGAAAAATTCTCTATTTCCACGGGCTGTCTCAAGATAGAAGGAAGTGTTGGCTGATTTGAGGATACTTTGGCTTTTTGTAGCATTCTGCACAAGAGGGCGGGGCCGGTCTCTCCTAGCCCACTGTTTGCTCCTGGTCCAATAACGTTCCTTTCAACCTCCTTCCCCTTTTCCTTCTTTTTTTGATGGACACAGAGCTTCATCCTTTTAAAAATGGTCTTGAATGATGGAGGCCTTCAGGCACTCATGGAAAACAGGAATCATGAGAGAAGCTGCCTGGATTTCAAAACCATTTTGCACCAAAATATACCAAGTCCATTTTCCCATGAGCCTTTTTTTTTTAAAGTAGTCTCACATATTATTTCTTTAAATCTTTAGTGGCATCACAGGGCATATGAAGAGCAATTATTCCTGCTCCTTCTTAGCGAGGCTATGAGGCAGACCAGTAACTTAAGTTTTACGTGAGTTTCCAGTTCAGTGGATTAGCATCCACACACACATACTCAATTCCTTCAAAACATTACTTCCTCTTCCCCCCACCACTTCTATTACTTATCCCTCTGTTTATTAAAAGCAGTGAAAGGAACTGGTGATGTGCACAGTGGCTTACAGCGGCCACCTGTGCCGCTGCAACCCAAATAGGTGCCGGCTGCTCCACTTTTGATGCAGCTCCCTGCTAATGCGCCTGGCAAAGCAGCAGTTGATGGCCCAAGTGCTGGGGCCCCTGCACCATGTGGGAATGAAGCTCCTGGCTCCTGGCTTGTTGGGGCCATCCAGGGAATGAATCAGTGGATGGAAGATCTCCACCTCTCTAACTCTTTGGCTTTCTAAATAACTGAATTACTTTAAAGCAATAATAATAATAAAAAATTTACCCCAGGATATGTTCAGTTGTGAAGAAGGAAAATGTCCCCGGGCTCTGGTGTGGAAGCTGGCCTGCCTCCTGTCTGGGAGGCAACATGTAGGTTGTGGTTTCAGTGGGTGCTGGCCTGAGGAGTGGGGGAGACTTCCTGGCTTGCTCCTTTTTGCTCAGTAACTTTCAGTCAACAATGACATGAATGTGTCCCAGTGCAGGGCCCGGGGCTGCTGGGCTGCCTGGGAGTGTTGGTGCTTTGTGGAACATCAGGCAGAAGGCCTGAGAAAACGAACCCTCCAAAGCCACGTGCAGACTGGGGAGCAGATGCACGTGGGCTGCAGAAGCTTTCCCGCCTGTCTGTTCCTTAAGATGTTACATAAACCTCGGGCAGTCTCATCCCTGCCTCCTCTCACCTTGCCTCACTTTGTCCTGCCACTCGTTCCTCTCGCCATATGCCGCACTCGTCCCTGGGGCCTGTTCTCCAAGCTGAGGTCACTCTCAACAGATGCATCTCCACTCACTTGACCTGGCATCTATGTGGGACTGCTCCCCAAAGGAACCAAGGATTAAGTGAGAAATCTGAGTAGGAACTTCTGGGTTCCTGCACACATTTTAATAGCATTGTCTCTTTAGTGAGCCCGACACCACCATGTACACACCTCATTAAGAGAACTCTGAAGAGTTTCTGGTGGAGAGAAGATCCTGGCAGGACCCATGATGGGTCTGCTCCCTAGCTAGCTAACAGACCTCTGCCAGCAGCTTCCTTCTCCAACTGAATAATATAGAAGCCACTCCACTTCAGGGAGCAGGAAGGGAGCTGTCAGAACAACTGGTCTCTGCTGGTCTCAAACTGCTCTCTGCACATGGACTGGGCAGAGCCGAACAGTCCTTGTAAAGCAAAAGCCTTAGCTTTAGTAGAGCCATGGGACTCAGCAGTCTGGACTAGGGCATTTCTTCCTGTGGGGGAGTGAGTGTTTTCAAGCATATAAAACCTTAATTAAAATACTGCTTATAAAAGGGACAACAGAGGAATGAAACCATCTCTGTAAATCTTACATAGAAATGATTCCTAATAAAAGAGAGACCAACTTGAGGCATCGCACAGCCTGAAGGTAGGATTCATTCTTAGACTTGTTTTTTTCTTTAAAAAAAATTTTTTTTAAAGATATAGGTGTTTACTATTTTTATTTATTTGAAAGGCAGAGTTACAGAGAGAAGAAGATAAAATTAGAGAAAATCTTCCATCTGTTGGTTCATTCCCTAGATGGCCATGAACAGCCAGGGCTGGGCCAGGATGAAGCCAGGAGCCTGGAGAGCATTTCAGGTCTCCATGTGGGTGCAAGGGCCCCAGCACTTGGGCCATCCTCTGCTGCTTTCCCAGGCACATTAGCAGGCAGCAGGATCAGAAGTGGAGCAGCTGGATCTTGAACAGGAGCCCATATTGATAGTTTATCCCAAAAACTATTTTCCCAAGAGTAAGGGAAACACAGGTAATCCTGCTTGGAAGAGGGAGGTTATTTGAAAAGATCATATAAACTAAAACGCTGCATTTAAAGACTACTATGCTAAGTGCAGGCTGTTTGAAAGATTTATAAAAAGAATGATCAGGGCCCTGTGCGGTAGCCTAGTGGCTAAAGTCCTCACCTTACATGCACTGGGATTCCAAATAAGCGCTGATTCATGTCCTGGCTGCTCCATTTCTCATCCAGCTCCCTGCTTGTGGCCTGGGAAAGCATTAGAGCATGGTGCAAAGCCTTGGGACTCTTAACCCACATGGGAGACCGGAAAGAAGCTCCTGGCTCCTGGCTTTGGATCAGCTCAGCTCTGGCTGTTGCTGATCACTTAGGGAGTGAATTATCTTTCTCCTTGTCTCTCCTCCTCTCTGTATGTGAATTATCTTTCTCTTTCCTCCTCTCTATATATCTGACTTTCCAATAAAGGTAAATCTTTTATTTTTTTTTTAATTGAAGGATCAAAAAAATCTTCCTAGGGAATGGGGTTACAGTGCTTTGGCTTTAGCTACTGCCTGTAACACTGGCTGCTTCACTTCTGATCTTGCTCCCTGCTAGGCTGCCTGGGGAAGCAATGGAGGATGGTTCAAGTGCTTGGACCATGCAGCCATGCAGGAGACCCAGCGTTCCAGGCTCCTGTCTTTAGCTTGGCCCAGTCACAGACATTGTGGCCAGTTGGGGAGTGAACCAAGATTCAAGACATTTATCTCCCCGGATCTTCCTCTCTCTAATTTTTAAAGGCTTGCGTGTACACACACACACATACACACGAAAGAAAAAAAAAGCTTACCCAGGGGAACTGGCATTGAGGTACAGTAGGTAAACTCGGCTACCTGTGACATCATTGTCATCCCATATAATCATTGGTTTGAGTCCCAGATGCTCCAATTCCAATCCAGCTCCCTGCTTATTCAGCTGGGAAAGCACTGGAAGACAGCCCAGGTGCTCAGGCTTCTGCCCCTCATGTGGGAGATTCAGATGGAATTCCAAGCTCCTAGGGCCCAGTCCTGGTTATTATGGCCATTTAGGGAATGAGCCAGCAGACAGAAGATCTCTCCCTTTCTTTGAAGTAAATAAATAAATTTTAAAAAAAGGATAAAAATCACAAGGACTTAGATCTTAGCTATCATGGGGCAGAAGCCTTAGGGTGCCAGGTAAGCATGTAATGGCACCAGAGCTGAGGACTGGGAGGAAATGGGAAGGCACCTGTTGGCCTCCCCTGTCTGTGCAGGGGGAGGGCTCCCAGGAGGCTAGTCACCTTGCATAGTGATTTTTAACTTGGAGACAGGATTCACTCTTACTACAATGATTAGACTTTATTGAGCGGTTACTGTACACAATGTAGAAGAATGCAAATTTCAATTTTTTTTGGCATCAAGATAAACACGGTTTAATTTTTCAGGAATTTCTTTTAAGTATCTTTGTATTATTACTTTCATTTTCTAGAT